ACACTAGCTCCTAAGTCAAGGAGGGCCCTCTCGATTTTGCTGTCACCAATGACGCACGAGATTGTGGGGGCACCCGGATCCTTATACTTCGGGGGAGTGCTGTGCTGAATAATAGCACTAACATTTTCAGTCAACCTCACTTTTTTTGGCAAATGATTTTTAGAAGTGCGCTTTTGAGTGCACAAATCTTTGAGAAATTTTGCATAGGGAGGGATTTGCTTGATAGCATCCAACAGGGGCAAGTTAATCTTCACTTGCTTGAAAACTTCCCACATGTCTTGAATTTTACAATTCTTGTTCCCAAAATGTGTCGACTCTTGAAGATGTTGAGAAAACGGAGCTTTTGGCTCATAAGTAGTTTCCACATTTGGGGAGACATGTGTGGGATATCCGTGAATGGTATTGGGACAAGAATTTGGATTAGAAGAGCTTGAATTTGGATTTTTCAACGGCGAAACTTCCTCACTTTTGTCTCCATCGACCTTGTTGTCCACCACTCTACCACTCCGAAGGGTGGTGATAGCTTGAACTTGTTCATGAGTCGGCCCACTCGGAGGAGGGGTTTCGTCAATCACATGCATTCCTCTAGGATTTTCAAAAGGTTGAGAGGGAAGCTTGCCCTTGTCCTTTTGAAGCAATTGATTCACCGAGTTAGCTATATGGCCCACTTGATTTTCGAGATTAGCTATGGATTGAGTATGAGAGTGAACCATTTGGAGAGTAGGCTGCAAGGATGTCAAAAGTTACTTGTTGGCATCCATTATTTGCTTATTTAATGATTCCATCATTTGCTTGTTTGCAGCTACTATCTCGTCAGTTGGACACACAGGAGGTTGATTGGAGACATTTGGATTGTAAGGAGGACGGTAGCTTGAAGAGGCTTGGAAAGGTCTACCTTGATATTGAGAAGAGGGCTGATTTTGCCGCCCTTGGTTTTGGAATTAGGAATTCTGTGGGGCTTGTTGCCGCCACGAGAAATTCGGATGATCTCGCCAACCCGGATTGTAGGTGTTGGAATATGGATTGTTCCCGGGCCGCGAGAACATGGCATTAGCTTGCTCTTGGTTGGGACTAGGAAATTGCTCCGGTGTGGGGCAATCTTCCGAGAGATGGAATGGACTAGTACATGAAGCACAAACTGAACTTGCCGAATTTTGAGACAATGAAGGAGGAAGATGTGGTGCCATCAATTGATAGAATTTATGAGCGATGGCATCCACTTGAGATGATTCCTCCCTTATTGACTTTGGTTGACAAGGGTTGGTGTTGTTTGGAGTGGTTGCGGTCGGAGCCCTACGAGAATTGTGTTGAAGTGAATTTTCACTCAAATTCTCAAGTAAGGTCTAAGCCTCATCCGCATTCTTGGACATGAACATCCCACCACAAGAAGAATCAACCATGAATCTATGGGTTTCGGTCAAGCCAGCATAGAAACCTTGCACTAATTGCCATTTTGGGATCAAATGATGAGGACACTTCCGAAGAAGATCTTGTAACCTTTCCCAAGTCTCGTGGAGTTGTTCTCCATCAACTTGAGAAAAGCTTAGAATGGAACGCCTCATTTGGTTGGTTTTACTCACCGGATAATACTTCTTAAGAAATTCTTGTTGCAATTGAGCCCAAGAAGTAATAGAGTTGGGAGCGAGGGAGTTCAACCAATATTTTGCCCTATCCTTTAGGGAGAATGGGAAAAGATGGAGATGAAGTGCATTGTCCGGAAAACCTCTCAACCGGATGGTCGAACAGATTTCAAGGAACTCATCAAGATGCTTATATGGATCTTCATTATCAAAGCCATGAAATGATGGAAGCATTTGAATGGTACTAGACTTGATCTCATATTGAGCTGCATCGATGTTTGGCATCACTATGCAAGATGGAGAAGCATAGGTGGTAGGGATGAAATGATCTCTAAGAGTCATTGGCTCGATATTAGGAATTTCAGCCCTTTCATTCCCCGGATTTCCTACGTTATCCCCCATTATATTGAATTCAGTTTCAAGGTCCCTTGTAAGAGTGGGTTCCCTAAGGTTCCGTCTAAGAGTTCTTTCAAGAGAATTGATATCAATGGGCGAATCGATTGTGGGTAAGGAAAGTGACCTACGACCGAACATCAACAACAAAGCATATACTCAACAAAGCAATTCATCAACCACAACTCCACATACGATGTTCCCTTTCTCCTCAATTATCAAGACGAAAAATGTAAATGGCCACGACAAGGACCGATGCTTTAACACAAAATTTAAACAGGATAAGAGCCTCAACAAGGGCTTCACAACTAAACTAAAACTAAATTTAACACATGCACAATATTCACAACTCGAAACTAGAAGTCACGAGACTTACCTGGGGTCCTCTAGACTTACAATTTGCTAGCATTCCCACGGCGAGCTTCGAGTCCCTGGAATCTTACAACACTTAAAACACAAAGGTGGTCAAAACACACAAGGAATATTCACAAGACACAATATTCACAATCAAACTAAATTTAACCCTAGAAACTTCGGTTGCTAAACCGTTTGTAGTCCCCGGCAACGGCGCCAAAAATTGATCGGTTGGTCAATTAACATCAACCTTCGCAATAGCACGAATCATTGTAAAATAGGGCTATTGGTCGGGTAAGTCGAACCACAGGGACTGCGCTAGTCTAATACAACCTAAATGTCTAGAATCATTCTTAGAATGATGAAGGGTGTATAGAGGTTTTGTTGGATGTCACTTAAGCTAGGAAATTAAAAGTGCATAAAATAATAAATTGCAAGAATTCAAGGGAGTGAAGTACAAGTAAAGAAGGCTAGGGAAATGAATCCACCTCCATCCCTATACACATGCTAGGTTAAGATTAATTTAAGGGGAAAACAACATATATGATAGTCATGATACATAACAATACTAGGTTGCTATAATATCCTTAAGAAGTTCATTTAAATAGAAAGGCAAGAATAAACCATCAAAGGTTCACATGATCAACTACCTAAACTAAAATGTAGCTTAGAACATGCTTACTAAGCCAAGGATTATCAAGCCCTAATTTAAATGGTGAATGCACATAAAGCTAAGAATCAAGTATAGCCCATCAAAAGGAAACCCTAAGCCATGAACTATCTAGGTTCTCCAACTCCATGCCATTAAAACCATTCCATGATCTAACTTCCATTGTCACCATGGAAGTGCAAGCAATATGATTAAGAAAAGTAACCATCTAAGACAAGATGAATAACTCACAATAATCATTTAAAACATTCAACATTCATTACAACAAAAATGAGGCTCTTGACCATGGAAAGACTATCAAAAATACATTGTAATCCCCAAAAATAAACTATACTAACACATGCTTACAAGGGAGGGGTTTCATCACCTCCCTAGATGAGGTTTAGTTGCCCATTGGTGAGCTAGAAGAAGGAAGAAGCATCATCCTCATCTCCATTTTCGAGCTCCTACTGTAGCACTCAAGAACACCCTTCTCCTTGCTCTCTTCTCTCTCCTCTATCTTGCTAAAGATGAAGCTTAATGATATATGTGGCCTTTGGGTAGCCTTTTATGCTCCAACAATACCCTCTCTCCTCCAAGGAACACCTCCAACCACTTCATAAAGAAGGAAGATGGCATTGAGGAAACCAATGTGCAAGTGGGCTGAAATGAGCCATTTCCAAAGGGCATTCTGCCTGATTTTCGAGCACACGCTTGGTGATCTCGAGCACTCTAACTTAGTGCAATGTGCAACATGCTCCTCTTGCTTAGCGCTGACCTATTTTGGGAAAACTGCTATAACTTTGTGCCCCGAACTCCGAATGACGATCTGTTTGAAGATTTGGAGAGCTGATTCAGTGTTTTAAAAACTTCATGTTTTGATGAAGACCCAATTCTCAAGTCTGGTTGGTCGAAAATGGGGAGAAAGGCAGTACATCAGTGCTGCTAGGCAGTTCTGCGCACCTCTGTTGTGAAGATCATAACTCTCTGCTCCGAACTCCGAATGATGAACCAATTGAAGATTTGGAAAGCTGATTCAGAGATCTAAATCTTTCATGTTATGATGGAAGTCTAGTTCTTGAGTTTGCTAGGTCAAAAAATGGCGACAAAAGTCAGGATCACCGCTGCCAGAAAATCAGAAATGGCATCCTTTTTGTTCAAAATTCCACAAGGCCTCATTTTTTGCTTCCTTTTTGCACTTCAACCTGAAAATGCATAAAAACATGCAAATGGAGTTAATCTACATAAAATAATTAATAACTGGACTTTGTTAATGTAATTTAGGGCGCTTGAATATACAATATTCAGCGCTTATCAATTTGCCACCAAATCCTCATCGTATTGATGATCGTGAAGGATCAACTCACGTGGATCCACGGTGTGAGCAGATCAGGTGAAACGAAGCCATGACTTTTGATCCACATCAAGAAACGCTCAGCCGAGGTGAAGCAATGGAGTTTGATCGTCACAAAGCTATGCCTCCATGGCACAGAGAGTTTGTTGAGGACAGATCATTCAATCCGACTTATCGGCCTTCCATGGCGACGTTCGACTATCGCTGCTCAGAGAGGAGATCTATAGACCAGAGAGCAACCGCAGGGTTCCAGAGGGAAAATGAAGCGCTCCGTTCAGCAGCTCGAACGGTTGATGCACCGTTCACAGACGAGATTCTGAATGCTCCGAGTCCGAGGAAATTTTCCATGCCCGTTTTCATTCTGTTCGACAGAACGACCGATCCGATCGATCATGTGTATCACATCCAGTTGAAAATGGCTCTGAACACTGAGAATGACTCTTTGATGTACAAGTGCTTTCCTACGAGTCTAGCTGGACCAGGGCTCAATTGGTTCAAGAACCTGTCAAGGGGCTCAGTGGATAGTTTCCGAAGCTTGTGTGATCGGTTCATAAGCCAATATTATGGAAATAAGCGTCCAGTGAAGGACATTTCGAGCCTATTCACAATGAAGCAGCATGAGGATGAGCGTCTCTAAGCTTTCCTGACCAGGTTTAACCTTACTAAGAGTATGGTGATTGAGTGTCACCCTTCTACGGCGGTTCAAGCATTTATACTGGCCATGACTCGTGGCACTCCATTCCACACAAGTTTGGTAGTAAATACGCCGAAGATTATGGATGAACTTAATGAAAGAGCTGATGGATTTGTGTGCTTGGAGGAAGAAGAAGTGGCTAACGCTCGAAAGACATCCGTCATATCAACAGAGGAAAAAACCAAAGCAAAGATCAGACAAAAGCAGGTTCAGCTACAGCGTCAGCCCTCGTGGAAATCTGAGAAGAGACCCAGGGAGGAAGAGTTAGTTACTCCATTGAAAGTTACCTTAGCAAGGCTGTACCAAGAAAATAAAGATAAGTTCCGATCTCCTTTACCAATCAGACAACCCCTCGAACAGAGGGATCAGTCTAAGCATTGTGCATTTCATTCTAACTTTGGCCATCAGACTAATGAATGCAGGAACTTAAGGAGACAAGTAGAGATGCTGATAGCCAGAGGGGAGTTCGCAAGTTATATTCAGGGTCCGGCGGTGGAACAGAACCGACCGATGGAGCACGTGAAGAGGAGTCAGAAGTCGAACTCTCACAATACGCAACCAGTTCGAATAATCAATGCAATTCACGGCCGGCCTAAACCTACTGAGGAGTCCGATGAACTGCTTCGAGCATGTCTTTGCCAGGCACGGATGAAGATGAGGATAGGCAGTGTAAATTCTCTGCACCAACAGAGTGCATCAACACAGATAAAGTTTGACAGAACAGATTTATTGCGTGTTCAGATCCCTCATGAGGACCCGTTGGTTGTTAGTTTGACGGTAGCTGAATGTTTGGTACACAGAGTTCTAGTTGATCCTGGAAGTAGTGCAAACGTCATGCCGAGGGACACATTTGATCGACTCGAGATCCAGCCGGACCGGCTCAAATCCACTAAAAATCATTTGCTAGGGTTTGATGGAAAACGAGTGGAGCCCATCGGAACAGTGGAGGTAGCAATACACGCTGCAAAGAGGGTTCTGATGGAGACCTTTGTGGTTGTCGAGATTCATCCCTCTTACAACCTTCTGATGGGCAGAGGGTGGATCGACAGAGTTCAAGGTGTTCCTTCTACTCTGTATCAAGTAATGAGATGCCTGGGGCCAGACGGAACCAAGGTGATTGACAATCATGGGGACCAGGTTGCAGTTAAGGAATGTTATTCAATAACGCTAAAGTATGCTGGAAAATGGAAAGCTCCCATCTGTTCAGCAAGTCCGAGATAGCAATTACAGGAGCCTCCCTCCAAGCAGAGTGGGGAGGAGGAGCCAATGGACTTGACCGAAGAACCCCTGGTTGATGTGCAGATCGATCAGTTCCGGCCAGAACGAACAACCAGAGTGGGGGAACGACTCGCCGAGGAGGAAAAACTGGAGTTAGTTAATTTCTTGTCTCAAAACACCGATATATTTGCATGGAGTCACTTAGACATGCCTGGGATCCATCCTTTTGTATCTTGTCACTCCTTGAACGTTAATCCCAATGCAAGACCTGTAAAGCAGAAGCAGTGACGGTTTGCTCCCGAGCGCAACCGGATCATTGCCGAGAAGGTTGACAGGCTGCTTGATGCGGGATTTGTAAGAGAAGTGTACTATCCTGACTGGTTGTCAAATGTTGTCGTGGTGCAGAAGAAGAATGGGAAATGGCGAGTGTGCATTGATTTCACCAATCTGAACAAAGCCTGTCCGAAGGATAGTTTTCCGCTGCCGAAAATTGATCAAATGGTGGATGCTACTACTGGGTATGAGCGTTTAACCTTTTTAAATGCTTATTCGGGTTACAATCAAATCCCCATGGATTCTGCTGATGAAGAGAAAACTTCTTTCGTTACCGAACGCGGGACGTATTGCTACAAAGTCATGCCATTCGGACAGAAGAACGCCGGAGCAACTTACCAAAGACTTATTAGCAAAATTTTCAAGGGCCAAATAGGGACGACCGTGGAAGATTACATTGATGACATGGTGGTAAAAAGTAAGAAGAAATTTGACCATCTGAAACATCTACGAGACGTATTTGATGTGTTGAGACAATATGGAATGAAGCTCAATCCAACCAAGTGCTCATTCAGTGTAAGTTCTAGCCAATTCCTGGGGCACGTGGTTAATCATAGAGGCATAGAGGCAAGCCCTGCCCAAGCAGAAGCTCTGACTAAGAATGTCAAGCCGACGACAGTCAAAGAAGTGCAAATACTTACGGGACGGATCGCTGCACTGAGCTGGTTCATTTCCAAATTGTCAGATCACTGCAAACCATTTTTTGACACAATATGAAGCCATGGCAGGCAAGTTTGGGGGGATGAACAGCGCCTAGCATTAACTGCTTTGAAAGAGTATATGCAGAACCTTCCGGTCCTGTCAGCTCCAGAACCAGGCGAAAAGCTATTTTTATATCTCGAAGTATCCAGCATTGCGACAAGTGGTGTTTTAATCCGCTGTGCAGAGGGGAAGCAATATCCAGTGTTCTATGTTAGCAAGACAATGACTGAGGCCGAACGACGTTATTCAAAGGCGAAGCGGGTGATACTCTCGCTAGTGCATGCGAAACGAAAGCTCGGGCATTATTTTGAATCCCATCCCATCATCGTTCTAACCACTTTCCCTATCAGAATAATCCTGCACAAACCAAACCTCTCAGGAAGGATGACGAAGTGGGCCATAGAGTTAAGCTCATTTGATATCACATACGAACCCAGAACGGCAGTCAAAGGGCAAGCGGTGGCGAATTTTTTACTAGAATGTGATTCAGAGGACATGGAGGAAGACCTTCGTGGTTGCTTATGGAAACTCTTTGTCGATGGATCCTCAAATCAAATGGGTGCAGGCATTGGGATCAAACTGCAGATGCCAAAAGGTACGTCCTTAAGTCAAGCGCTCCGGCTTGAATTCAGAGCCACCAACAATGAAACGGAGTATGAAGCACTGCTGGCAGGACTTAAGCTTGCCAAGGAGCTGAAGGTCAGAAATTTGACTGTTTTTAGTGACTCGCAATTAATTGTTCAGCAGGTGCATGGTGAGTATGAAACCAAAGATGAAACGATGGAAGCATATCATTCTGCTGTTATGCGGGAGGCCAAAAACTTTGAAAAAATTGAATTCATTCAAATTCCGAGAGAGCATAATGAGGATGCCGATCGGTTAGCATGTAGTGCCTCGGGTTCTGGAGAAACGTTGGCAAGGGTGGTTCCAGTAGAAATATTAAACCAGTCATCTATTTTTGAAGAACCTTCTGGCTCAGATCCTTGGCAAGTGAATGTTATTCCATATGAGCCAAGTTGGATTGATCCGATCATAACTTACATCCTGGATGGTACTCTACCTGAGCAAAGAAATGAGGCTAGGAAAATCAAATCGAATGCTGCAAAGTACGCCATAGTGCATAACCAGTTGTACAGAAGATCTTTTTTCGGGCCATACTTAAAGTGCGTCACCCCCACAGAGGCTCGGCAGATACTACGAGCTATTCATGAGGGTGTATGTGGAAACCATTCAGGAGGAAGGTTTTTAACGCATAAAGTAATGACACAAGGGTACTTCTGGCCGAATATGTCGCGAGATGCGAAAGAATTATCCAGAAGGTGCGATAAGTGCCAAAGGTTCGAACCACTGATCCACTAACCACCTGAGGACTTGCACGTAATGGCCACACCATGGCCTTTCGCATAATGGGGGATGGATGTGGTTGGTCCTCTGCCAACTACAAGAGCTCAGAACAAGTATATGCTGCTGGCTACAGATTACTTTACTAAGTGGGTGGAAGCAAAGCCGTACCCGAGCGTAACTCAAACTCATGTGAGATGGTTCATTTGGAGTAGTATTATTTGCCGGTTTGGTGTTCCGAGGTCAATCGTCATGGATAATAGGACCAACCTTGACAGCAAGCAAGTAAGAGAGTTGTTGGAGGAATATGGAATTAATCAAAAGCTGGCGGCAGTAAGTCACCCCCAGGCCAATGGACAGGCAGAAATTGCAAATAGAACAATCTTTGCTTGTATCAAGAAGAAGCTTGAAGAGAATAAAGGAAAATGGTTAGATGAACTGCCGAACGTCCTATGGGCTTATAGAACGAACCCAAGGCGATCTACCAGAGAAAGCCCATTCGCCATGGCATATGGTACCGAGGCAGTTATACCGGTCGAACACTTGGTTCCGACTGTCCGAAGCTTGTCATGGAACCGAGAGCATAACGACAGTATGTTGAGGTTTAACCTCAATATGTTGGAAGAAAAAAGAGATGCAGTGGCAGTAAGGCTTGCATCCTACCAACAGACACTTATGAATAGCCATAACAAAAAGGTAAAGCACAGAGAGTTCGCACAAGGTGATCTGGTTCTGAAGAATAAGGTAGGAATGGTTAAGAAAATGGTGGCACCTTAGGAAGGCCCATATAGAGTTGCAGAAGTCTTAGGGAAGGGAGCCTACACTTTAGAAACCATGGCCGGAAGGCTAATCAACAAGCCATGGAATGTTACGTCTCTTAAAAGGTATTATCAATAGAAAATCAAGTTCCAATTTTATCATTGATCATTCTTAAATTGTGTACGCACGAATGAATGAAATTTTGAAATCTATAAAGAGATATCTTCTTATGAAAAAAATTGAATGTGTAAAAATCAGCAAAGTAAGTGGTAGGTGATACTATGAGCCGAATGCCAAAAACTTGCCAAAAAATAAAAGAGTGAAAGTGGCAAGTGGCATTCTAACCTAGCGCCAACCACTCAGCAAAGTAAGTGGCAGCTGGCACTATGAGCCGAATGCCAAAAACTTGCCAAAAAATAAAAAGAGTGAAAGTAGTAAGTGGCATTCTAGCCAAGTGCCAACCACTCAGCAAAGTAAGTGGCAGCTGGCACTATGAGCCGAACGCCAAAAACTTGCCAAAAATAAATAAATAAAAGAGTGAAAGTGGAAAGTGGCAAGTGGCATTCTAGCCGAGCGCCAACCACTCAGCAAAGTAAGTGGCAGCTGGCACTATGAGCCGAACGCCAAAAACTTGCAAAAAAATAAAAGAGTGAAAGTGGCAAGTGGCATTCTAGCCGAGCACCAACCACTCAGCAAAGTAAGTGGCAGCTGGCACTATGAGCCGAATGCCAAAAACTTGCCAAAAAATAAAAGAGTGAAAGTGGCAAGTGGCATTCTAGCCGAGCGCGAACCACACAGCAAACTAAGTGGTAGCTGGCGCTACGAGCTGAACGCCAAAAATTTGCCAAAAAATAAAATGAAAGTAGAAAGTGGCATTCTAGCCTAGCGCCAACCACTCAGCAAAGTAAGTGGCCATTGGCACCATGAGTCGAACGCCAGAAACTTGCACAAAAAACTTTTGCTGTGACACACTAGCTAAAAGCCAGCCACTGACATACAGGGAAGAACCAGATCAGATAACATTGAATCATTAAATCAAGTGATTTATGGTAAGAGTTCGATTAAAAGTCAGCCATTTCATTAATAATGAAAATTAAGAGTTACAAAAAATGATGAGGTATACAGATGGCAAAAATACAAAAGAAGGAAGGTCAATACATCAAAAAGGGTCTAACTAGAAGCGTTTGCCCATTCAGCTTCTTGATGGTGCTGAACGGCCTCTTCATCATTGTTAGCGTCACCATCCTCACGGGGAGGAGAGTCGAGCTGAATGACAGTATCATTCTGCTGAGTCCTATCCTCAATAGCGTTGAAAGAATCATCTCGCCTAGGGTTATCTTCAGCAGCAACAACAAATGGAGTCACGGTGGACAGAGGAAGAACGTCCAAAGTCAAAGCGGTAGAAGGAGTAGGAGTGATCCAGGAAGAGGCAATCTCTTGGCACTCATCAAATATGCCCTCAGCAGGGGTGGAGTCTGGATCGGCATAAATACCCGGAAGATCAACCTCCAGCTCCCTGTCAACCTCATCAGGGGTAGAACCAGTCTGACCCTCACCCGGAATACGATCGGCATAACCCTCTCGGAACCCCTAAGCATATCTGAGGGCCCCAACTCTGAAAAACCGAGCATGCAGAGCTAACATACCACCATTTACCCTACTAATGGTGTCGAGTAAAGCATTGCGCTCGTCCAAAGCCCTTTTCTCAAAGGCCATCCGAGCAGATTGCTCATCACTCAGAAAGCGTAGCAGTTCTTCCTTTTCAGCCTTAAGGGATTCTCTCTCGGTATGCCAGACGCTCTTCTCGAGCTGCAATGCATTCCTCTCATCCTGAAGAGAGTCCGTCTCCTTCCTCAGGGAGTCCCTCTCCTTTTCAACTTTGCTAAGCTGAACCATCAACCCGGTCTTCTGAGCAGCCAAATCATCGTTCTCCTTGTTTACTACATCAAGGCTGTCAGAGAGCGTGCGAACCTTGGCGTTCACAAGCTCAACCTGTTTTTGCATAGCCATCATCCCGTACAGGGTCTATAGAGATAAACATGACAACTGGTTAAGCCGAGCAGATGGTTAGAAGAAATCAAGTGTAAAGACTGTATAAAGATTCATTGACTAAGAGGCAGAAGTTACCTCCATGGCAGATAAGGGAAATCGGCTGAACACTTCCTTCTGAGACAGACCCTTGGCTACCTCAATGTCCTTAGGAGTCCACATGCTCCTGTAGTATGCCAGAGGCGTCTGACCATCCTTGAACATGGTCTCGTTCGGTTTTACAGACGATCCGTCTGTTCGAATGAAGCGAGGGTTCCATGGTGCCGTTCCTGAGGCAGAGGCATGCCCAGAAGGGGTAGGGGGCCTAGTTTGAGGAGGCTTAGCTAGAGGTTGCACGGACACATTTGGCCCAGAAGGCCTAACCCTCTGTGACAAAAGAACGTCATCGACGCTGAGGGCACTATCAGGCTGATGCCTTTTTCCTCTTGTCTTTTCCCTGCGAAAGCAGTAGTAGAGCTGGGAAGGTTGCTGACAGAGGGAGTCACATTCGGACTAGCGGTCGCTGTGTTGGAGATCGGGTCAATAGCAGTCACGATCGGATCAGTGGAAGGAGTGCTATCAGAAATGGTGGCGAAGGAAGATACTGAAGCTGGAGAAGAAGTTGTTGTAGGGGCAACAATGAGCCTGGGGGCAGTTTTCCTCCTGCCAAAGGAAGGGATCTGGAGTTGACTCATTGTCTTGCCGAGGGCTGAGAGAGCAAGGAGGTTGTCTGAAGTGAGGAGGTCCGAGCAGGAGGGAATGTCAGTCAGAACGTACTGCTTCAGGTAGTTATCCCTATCCCTGCACACACTGTAGCTCAAATCATCACAAGGAATGCCTAAGGAACGGCACAAGGAAGTACAAAAACGAGGAATGCAAATCTCGCAAGGACAGTCGCTCTTATGGGTTTTGTATTTTTTATAAGAAGAGACAGAGCACTCTCCAAAAGCGCTCGGGATAGGGAAATCCTCTACAGCTGGAGAAAACCAGGCTCCCCTAACCCCAATTATATTTTTCCTCCAACCCTTCTCGGATTTGATCTTATCTGTGCAGATGGACCTTTCTCAATGGGGTAGAAGTGGTAAAACGGTTCATCAGTTTTGATTTTGCTAACCTTGTAACAGAGGAGAAGATCTACGAGGTCCAGATCTAGACCTCTGTCACGGATCAGAAGCAGCATAACAGATAAAATCATAAGGAAATTTGGGTTTACTTGCAAAGGGGAAAGTTTCAGTTTATTAAAAACGTAGCAAAACAAGGGATGCAAAGGGAACTTAAGGAGGTTAAGATGAAGGTGTGAAAACAGAACCTCGCCGGGAAGAAGGCCAGCACCGGTTCTAATATTCACTTCTCTAGGGCAATTTCTAATTTGTATATCGTCAGGTAGGTGAAGTCTCATGCGAAGAACATCTAGATCTACAGTCATGGTGAGAGTGAATGAGGATTTTAAGGAAGAAAAAGAGGTCTTCCGAAAGAAAAAGGCAAATGAAACTAACCTCAGAGAGTGAGAACATCAAAGAGTACTACAAGGTCGCTGGAAAGAGGAGCTTTTGTAAGAAATCGCCCGAGAAGATTCGAGCAACAAAAAAGTGAGATGGAGACGGTAAAGAGAATCGATGGAACATCTATGATGTTTATAAAGGCAAGGTGGGCCCGAGGGCCGAGGAGTCAGGAAAGCGAGGAGTTTTTTGAATCTCGAAGTGCCAACCCCCAAATTTAACCGTCCATCCTCCCATGCGATCTTCTCGAGCCGTCAGGTCATGAACAGCAGCCTCTAATAATTACCCCCTAATTAATAGGGAGTAATTATGGGGGCAGTTGAGGATGCAATAAGTGGTATGGGCCGGTTATGACTCGCTGGCATGGGATTGGGGCGAACAATTGAAGTATGGCCCATACAAAAGCACCACGAAATGGGCCGAGCTTGGAGGATCCACGGAAGAGGACCAAACCCATCGGAAAGAAGGCCCAAAAGAGATAGACCAGCAGCACTGATAGTTGCCTATAAAAGGGCAGCGAAGAGAATGAAAAAGGGGATGAATTTTTCATTATTGGAAATGTAATAAGATTCTGTAAAAAGAAAAAATTAGAATCTTTGCATCTTCACATATAATTAAAATTAGAATAAAAAAATACAATGAAATGTCCATAGTTTCTTTGAAAAATAGCATGTAATAGAGAAATAAAAGACTAAAAAATAATAATAATAATAATGAAAAGAGGCTAGAGAAAAAAATTTACAAGTACATGGGAGTTATGTAAAATTTATCCAAAATAATTATTTTAGAAAAACTCCTCCATCCAATGGGTCAAAGGTGGTCAATAAAAGCCAAGAGATCCAATGTGTCCATTGATTTACACACACAGATTAGAGAGGTTGAATAGTTGCAAGCAGAACCACCACACTTTAAAGCTACAAAATACAAATTCATACAGAGCACTCAAACCCTGATTAGATTGTTAAACACAGAACAAAGTGTTAGATTCACAAACTAAAGTACACCCATAGCTGGTGTTCAATGTCTTCTTTCGAAAACTACAGGTTTCTACATTGTACAACCATAAGCCTCGTATGTACCCATCACTAATACACATGGACACACACACACACACACACACACATATATCCATCATTTGATAGTATCGACGGAGAAAATCGAATTATGCTGGTTTCCACACTACTAGCACCTCCTGAAACATCTCCAGCATCAGTTCCCTGTCTGCTTGCCTGAAAAAGTTACTAATTTCATCTCTGACATCATAGATCTTGCCGAAATCAAACAAGTACATCAAGCATCCTTTCTTCAACCTCCTCAGTTGGTAAAGCCAGGCCTCCTGCAGCCTCTCGAGGACATTACCCGAGTTGATGTCCTCCAAGAGGCTTTCCTCGCAAGAATCCTTCAGGTCAGCAATGTCGTACTTGTTTGCCGCCCCCAGCAAAGACAACCTATGCTTCCAGAAATCATCCTGTTTTATGGTTCCATACAAGTAACTTAGAAGGACCATGCAAGATTCCATTGACATGTCTTCTATGTTGATTGTAGAGGACTCCTTCTCCCTGAGGTTGTGAAGGAACATGCTCTGGAACACGGGGGAACTTGCGGAAAGAATCGCCTTGTGAGCTTTTAGTGTTCCGTCGGCTGTGTTAATGGTGACATCAGCATGGATACCCTCATCAAGCATGCGACCGAGGCATCGGAGAGCGCTTTGAGCTGCTAGAGATTGCATTGTACCATCAGTGGGCCATATAGAATTGGCTTCCCCACCCTGTGAATCATAACTGAGTTTTTTAGATACTATCTGCAATTTAAAAAAAAAAGTGGTGTTTTCATTGTGCTAATCTAAATCCTATTTCATTGCTAGATGATATTTGGCTGAAGAAAAAATAAAACAAAAGAAAGATACTTCTCAATGATGAGGGTTTTCTCGGTCATGTGTGTGTGTTTTTATTTATTTATTATTACTGTTTTTCTTTTCCCTAGTTGATCATGTGCTTCTAGTGCATTGAAGGACAAGGTGCTTTAAAAAAATGAAACACCAACCAACAAATTTTTTTTCCCAGTAAATACCAACCAACATTTCATATCTTATTTCGTGTAGATGCAAAAAATAATTTATAATCATGCATTCTAAATCTTAAAACACCTAACAATATTTAAAGTAGCTCACATTTAGCGGGCAGATCTTCAAATCCAGAAACTCAACGTCAATGACAAAGCGACCAAGAAAAGTGGAATCAACAGGCCAGACAAAGTCATCGCTGGTCCGTAGCAGTCTTTCATGAACTGCAGTGTGAATCAATAAAATGTTAAGGGAATTGAACAACTTCATTGTAACTGCATCACACAGAATTATCATATTGCCTACATTAAAATTAGGGGAAGAACTTACGATTTCAGCATGTGCACACTGCACATACGAGAGAGAGAGAGAGAGAGAGAGAGAGAGAGAGAGAGAGAGAGAGAGAGAGCTAAACAGGAGAAGTGGTAATGCCCATGACGGTGAGTGGGGCACACAAGAATAATAAAGTGTGGAAACTAATATCAGATTTCTGTAGTAGCTTGAGTAAATATATGATCAAAATCTTTCAAATTTATGGTTATCTGCGATATAAAAGAAGTGCAATTTCAGCAAGTTAAATGCGAGAGGCCAGACCAGTGACCATAAGAACACCAAACTTAGCAGCAATGTAGACAGTACACGTGTCAATAAATTCTGTTAGATGGTCAAAACATATTTGTATTCTTAAATGTGCCATAGTGACACAATTTTCTTTTCAAATGTTGCTAGTATAGAATGTGGGCAAGGCAAATACACACTAGAAATCAGATCAACATTTGAGGTAGGAAAGAGCAAAGGGTGAATGCTACATGCTAAATCTACCCTGTATAATTGTCAATTTAAAGAATCATGACTTGGAATGATCATGGAATTGATCCCTGCATAAAATCAATTAACAGTTGTCATGCATAATTAATGCAAGCAAATATTTGAGAGAATACGAACAGAAACATCCTGGTTGCTATATGTTTGAGACTAAAAAGGTTTTAATTTTTATTAATCTTCAACCCTAATATTATGCAATATCTAGGTGAACAACTATAAAATAGAAGTCTGTGGTCCCTAGAAAACATGTGGCTAGGATAGGTTAGAAAAATATGGTTAGGAACACCCCATCAGACTCCCATCCCCTCCCCTGTAGAAAAACCAAAAGGGAAATATGAGAAGAAACCTTCGTTTGGACAAGAATTAACGGCTTGCATTCTCAAAAGTACTTCGAACTATGTGATTATTTCAAAAGACAATTTCAATAGCAGCAAATCTTTGGAAGGGTTATTGCAGAACCAAAACATCCCCTTTGTGCTTGCTATGTGGCAAGGAAAATTAGCTGCGAGTCCAAGACAGACATTTATATACATTTATCAATACTACTTGCAAATATATATTTGGAAAATCCATCTTCAAGGAAAGGTCATAGTTCGAAGACACGACTGCCTACGCGAATGCGTACACGGTGTATCGGACTAAGGGCCATATCCAACATAACGTAATGGAATCGGTTATCGAGGTCATGAAATTTTCTTGACCTTGCACATGATTAGATGTGTTGACTCGGTTGATTCCCTAGGGACTCAGCTGAGACTCAGTCGAGTCTCGTGTGATTCCGATTCTCACTAATATATCAGTATCAGTCTTGGAATCAGCCGAGTTACAAAGACTCGTCTTATACAGAGAACTATGGTTGAGATACTTGAATCAATGAGAAATGTGCTTGGACTCAACCGATTCGCAGAGTCTCGGCTGATACTAAGAACTATGGGTGAGATAATTGACAACACTAAGTAGTTGAGTCAAAACAAAGGCACCCGTCAATATGAAGACACAAGATGTAGTCATTAATCAATATTGGATAATAGGAACATTTTTCCCACGAGAAGGAAAGATGAAAAAATAATAATAATAACTTTAAAAGTAGCTATGAAATTCTTTAGATATGATGTTGTTTTCACATTAAAGAATGCTTTGCAGTGGTAAAAATAATTGAGAATTAACAGGAAAAAAAAAAAAAAAGATCACAAGCAAGAACACAGATATACGTGGTTCACCATAGAGCCGCCGAGATTTCACTATGATGAACAGCAAAACGAATCACAGAGTTCAGAACAAGAAAAACCGTTCTTCACTATATGTGGATAGTATTAAGGCTACATAACAAGTGTGAAAATACCAAACTACACCAAGAAAAAGTTCGGGTCAGGAGCATCCCCGAACCCCCACCTTACAGACAGGAGCACTTCCCCTGCAACCCCCCTCCAACAATTTGCAAACGCGTCGTAAAGTGTATAGTACAATCAGGCTCCACATTTCTACAAAAAATGTTAGCAAGGAAAAGACATTGTGCATGATTAGATGTGTTGAAGGTTGATGCCCCATATGCTTACAAATTGTTACTAAGATGTGCTATGGTTGTGTAGCTTATAACTGAAGCTTCCTCTTTTCTTTTTTTTTTGGGTAAGGGTAATCACATATAATATATCTGTAAAAAGAGGAGCTTCTGAATCATTCTTCTAAAGGTTCGGTCAATGTGGGTTTGTTAAAGTGGTATTTCATTTATCCCTTCCTGAACTATGTATTGCTTATTTCTTAGTTTCTTTCAGCATTGTCAAGTTGTTAGTTCAGAAATTCACATCTTAGTAGGATGAGGCACAAGCGTGCCCGCGCACACACACCGAAAAAAAAAAAACCAGCATCTTCGGTGTTTCGGAGGCACGTGTAAATTTGTGCGTGGAAATCCAAAAACAACAAGGAGCTCTAAGAGATCAAATTTTAGTTGTGTTCGTGAATAACGCAACTGAACACGGAGGGTATATATCAGATTATCCTCGTATTTGCTAGGTAAGAAGTTCAAGAAATTATTATAATTCTTCAATAACAGAAGGAACCTTAATTTTGACAATTGATTTGAAGAGAAGGAAAATTTGAGGCAGAGCTGGCATTATTGATAGAAATGAAGAAAGAACAGATGACAGCTTGAATTAGGAAAGTTTGGTACATTGCTAGGGTAAAAATAATAGCTAAGAGCAGCTAGAAAGTCTTTATTTTGCTTTGGACATTGGTTTGAAGGAGTTTAAGATGGAAGGTGGAACATTGTTGGTGATTCAAAGTCTCCACAATGAAACATCAAGTGACTCAGTCTAAGTAGAATGATGGTTGATGCAAATAAAATGGCAAGAAAAGTGTGTTTCAGAATTCCCCCATGTCAACAAAGGCTGCAACACGGCAGCTCATGACTCAGCACATTACAGCTTGATGAAAGCTAAACCAGGGGTAGGAAATTTCATTACTATTGTGGGACAATCTCATATCAGATTTTTTGTTCCAACCCATTTCTTCAGAAACTTTCACCAAAATTAACAAATCAGTAGATTAACTGTCCAACTAACACAAAAAATGAATAGTAATAATAAAGATTTCAACTTGAAAAAACTTGCAATAAAACAAATGGCACCTGCGACTAGGTTGCCAGAGACCGACTTGCTTAACAGAAAATGAAACGTGAATTTCCAGTCGGAAAATATATTTTCAATAACTGAAACAGAAGTTATGCTTATAGGTTTCAATCTACAGGGTAATTATCAATCATGCTCTGTAAGTCATTCATTTTCACCCATCTCGTGCTCCTCCTTTGCCCAATCTTTACTTCTATTTTTTTTTTTTTTTGGGAAGTTAAAGCAAACACACACCCATTACCCAAAATATGTCCAGAGTGGGAATCGAACTCTCAACTTCCCCCTTTCGTATGTGTCATTAAATATTAGGTCTTACCTTTACAGAGAAATAGTCAAAAAGGGAAATTCAGATACACATCAAGCATCATGTATATAGAATTCGATTCGCTTCATTTGCTCTTATACAGCATATTTCATTTCTTACCGTTATAATCCATAATTTCTACTTCAAGAGATCACCAATCCCAATCCTTCTCAAAATTTTAACCCGCTTGCATATAACAATTGCCATTTCACATAATAGAAGAAAACCCAAACTCATAAAGCTCATAAGTGACAAATGGAGAAAAAATGAAAATTGATGAAAAAATAAAAATAAAAATAAAAAATATGATAGTAAAGATATCAAGGGAGATAGAGAAATTATAGTACAAATTTAACAATAAATAAGTATTAACAAGAATAATTATATATACATACATACACATATATATACACACATACTTGGGGAGATATAAGGTCTGCGGTTAGCGCCGGTCGTAGAGACTCGGAGAACAAATCTAGCGATCGGAGGCTGCTCTTTCGAAGCTCGAGAGGGTTCGGGAAAGAGACGAATGTACAAATACCTATTCTTCTCGATTGTTAAGTGCCTGAACTCCAATCAATTCAAACAATATATACATCATGTACACAATAATCTACCAAACTAAACCGAACCTGTATGCATATCTGTATATATAGATTAGATAGAGAAGGAGGGATAGAAAAAAATTACCAGTTCCAAATTCCGACTTTGAAAGGATCGGACTTTTTGTAAGTGCAAGGGCCGAAGTTCTCTATCCTCCATTGAGCTAGTCTGGAGATGGTCTCCACCTTTGAATCGGCCATCTCTCTTTCTCTCTCTAACTCTGCAATAATTCGTTCGTCTCTAGAGAGATGATGGACTTGTCACAGTTTCAAGCTTTTTGACGCTTTCTTCTTCAAAAAGAAGTAAATGAAAAGGATAAAATGTCGAATTACATAAATGCCCCAAATGGGTGTTATAGTAATGACATGTCATAATATCTACTCAGCGCTAATTTTTATCCGGTTTTAAATGGTAAAGAGGTCGTAATGTTTTCGTGTGCTGCGGTGAATTGCCACAAGGACATCCCCATTATTTACAGGTGGCCTATAGAGATTAGTTGACTGCAACAGCAGTTTGGTCGCGATGGGCGGGTGGTGGTTTTGTGTTTTTTACAGGTAGATGGTACTATATAAACGATTCTCGCTGAGTAAAGGATACGTTAAAATATTATTTTGTATAAATTATACATTATCATGATGTGTAAATTTTTTTTATTATTAATTAAAATATATTATAAAATTACTATGTATATTTTATATAATTTTTTGACACAACCACGTTAACATATTTCAAAATTTTTATATAAACCTACCATGATACATCAAATTTACACAAATATATATATATATATATACACACACACAATGAACAAGACTTTAAATTTTTTATTTCTTTATATTTTAATTTTTCTAAAATTTTATTTCTTTTATTGTTAGACTCTCGCTGATAGAAGGGCCTCAAATTTTTTTTATTTCCATATACTATAACTTCCAAAATTTTTTATTTGTTTATATTATAACTTTCCTAAATTTTTTATTTCCTTCTTATTATTAGACTCAAATAATAGAAAGTCTTCAAAAAAAAATTTATCTCCTTATATTATAACCTCTCAAAATTTTGTTGAATTATATTTTTCTATCTATTATTGACCCTAACCAATAGAGATTTAATAAGAGCTTCTCTAACCGTTGTGTAATATATATATATATATTTGTGTAAATGTGATATGTCTTGATAGATTTACACCAAATTTTTGAATTATTTATTTTTAACTCCAAATGTTGTTTTATATATTTGGTGTAAAAATATATCCCCCAATAACAATCAATTACATGTCATACCTATTTATTTTTAGCTCCAAATATTATTTTATATCTTTTGTGTAAAAATATATCCCCCGGTAACAACCAATTACGTGTTATACGAGAACCCACGTAACTTTTATAAACTTACTTAATATAAGGTTGATTCTTTAATGAAATGAGAAAGATGGAGGAGAAAAAAACTTACTTAATATAGGGTTGATTCTTTGATGAAATGAGAAAGATCGAGGAGAAAAAAAAAATATGTTGATGTGGCTGTATAAAATACACAACCACATTAGTGACGTAAAATACATAACCACATTAGTAACGTGGCAGTGTATTTTAACAAACTAATGAAGATAAAAATAAAAAATAAAAAATTTCCACATCGCAGTGTATATTTTATACAAAATAATATTTTAACAAATTGCTGGAGATACTCTGAAGGCTCAAAAGATTTCTATCATTATCTTTCCTATTTTTTCTCTACACTACTCATTCACCTTCTTCTTTTTTTCTCCCGAATTTATGGAACTTTTCATATTATTCTTTTAACTTTTATCATTTTTTCCCTTATTTCTTACATATTTTTCATTAGGGCAAAGTACCGAAAACCCCCTCAGCTTGTAGCATTTTTCAATAAACCCCTCGTCTAATTTTTTACCAAAGAACCCCCCTTAACTTGTAACATTTTTTCAATAAATACCCCTTTGTCTAATTTTTTACCAAAGAAGCCCCCCTCAATTATCGAAAAGGGGTAAAAGAGCTGATCTTTGGACTAAAATGCACTTTTATTTAAATCTTAATTCTCTCGCACTTCAAAGAATATATCTCACAAACCGTACATTTTAAAATTATAAATAATATATGCACGAAAAGTTTATAAAATAAGGATTTTAGAAATATTAGATTTGTACAACAAACCTTTATAACCAGAGAGAAATTGACAATTTAAAAATCTACTCTAACAATTTTATTTTATTTTTAAAAAATAAATACTCTAGATATTTGCAAGAAAATTTTCAGAATTATTCATTTACATATGGAGTCGAATATATAAAAAAAATTAGCCCCAACAGAGATCAATTTCATGAGATATCATATTTTGCGTCAAAATATTTTCATTCTTTTATAGACTCACCATTTAAAAATAAATAAAAATAAATATTCGGTTCCTATTGGGTCTAATTTTTTTTATATGTTATACTCTATATGAAAAATAAATAATTCTAAAAATTTTCTTTCAAATAACTCGAATATTTTATAAAAAAAATAAAATAAGATTGTTGCAGTAGATTTTTAGATTATCTATTTCTCTGTATTTTTGTTAAACAAATCTTATATTTTTGGAATCCTTATTTTATAAGCTTTCCGTGCATATATTATTTGCAATATTTTGATGTACGATTTGTGAGATATGAATTTTTTAAATTTGAAAAAATTAAGATTTAAATAAAAGGACATTTTGGTCTAAATATCAACTCTTTTACTCCCTTAGATAGTTGAGAGTTGAGAGGGGTTCTTTGGTAAAAAATTAAACAAGGGAGATTTGTTAGAAAGGGTTACAAGTCGAGGGGATTCTTTGGTAAAAAAATTAGATGAGAGGAGTTTACCAGAAAAGGCTACAAGTCGATAGGGGTTTCTGTACTTTGCCTTTTTTATTAAGAGTCTGTTTGGTTAGACATAAATTTTTATGAAAAGTGAAAGTGAAGTGAAAAAAAAGAAAATCAAGTTTCTATCATGTGGTTAGCACGAAATATTTTGAAAGAAGTTGTAAGAATATACTATCTTATTAGTTTGGATATCATTAAAAGGAAAATAAAATGATTCTACTTACCCAAAATATCCTTATAATTTTAAATAGTAAAAAAATAAATAAATTTATATTTGATAAATATTATTTATACTTAATTATTTTTTTTAGTAAGGAAATAGTGAAATATGGAATAGAATAGTATGTGATATCATAATATAATTTTTTTTTTGTTTTCTCCTCTCTCTCTCTCTTTCTCTATATTCACTTGTTCATGTGCAAACTTGAATTCCCGATCTTCTATTTTTTAAGGTAAGAAAAATAAGTTTTTGGTTAAGTGGACTATCAAAGTTCAAGTATTTATTTTCTCTTTCTCTTTATATTAATTTTAATTTCATTATTTATTATTTATTTGTAAATGATGTAATTGGATACTATATATCTAATTACAACTTTCTAACCAAGAAAATAAAGTCATAAACTGATTATGTAGACTATTTAAGAATCATTAATTATTTATTTCAAGATAATGTTTGATATTAGATATGAAACAAATTGTGTTAAGATAATGTAGACTATTTTTCACTTAACACTTTTGTTATCAATAAATAATTATGTATATATATAATAGCTCTTAATCATTATCAATTATAGAAAAAAATTTATTTTACTTATTTAAGACATTTCAAAAAAAAAATTGAAAAAAAATAATTCAGTAATGAAAGGAAAAAATTAATTAATTTTGGATGCACATATACAAAATACAAACAATTAAATTAGTAATACATGATTTTATAAAAAAAACAATTTACCGAAGAAGGAAACTCTCCTTTTCAAGAAAGTCTATGTAATTAAGTAAAGAAGAAGAGACAACTAACATGGGTATAATCAGAAAATAATATATAAAGTGCACAACTTTTTCAGAAAAGTGAATTTCCCTGTGTTTTTTGTAGAAAGTTTAAATATTTTTCTTTTCTTTTATTTTCTGGTTACACTAGAAAATAAAAGAAACAATTAATTTTGGATGCACACATACAAAATACAAACAATTAAATTAGTAATACATGATTTTATAAAAAAAACAATTTACCGAAGAAGGAAACTCTCCTTTTCAAGAAAGTCTATGTAATTAAGTAAAGAAGAAGAGACAACTAACATGGGTATAATCAGAAAATAATATATAAAGTGCACAACTTTTTCAGAAAAGTGAATTTCCCTATGTTTTTTGTACGGATGCGGGAATCCTACTTTCTTCAAAACTTTCAAAAAGTTTAAATATTTTTCTTTTCTTTTATTTTCTGGTTACACCACGCTAACCAAACGGACCCTAAGAATAACTCAAGGTGAATTATGTCACAAGAAATATTAATTAGATTGACTATATATTAAATATTACAAATTCACTTTTAATTTTTTTTTCCCCTAAAATCTCGAATTATATTGAGCGGCCCAAACTACTGAATAACTTTAAAGTTGTTTAAAGTGTCTAATTCAGTGCGTTAGTACTAGAGTCATACTCCACTTTTGATTAGACATAAAGTCAAGTTTCTGCCGGAGCCTAGCTACGCGTCAAGTAGGCAAAATGGTATACATTATTAACCAAATAATATAATTTTTTTTAGCTAGAGGGCAGATGTAAAATCAGCTTTCTTAAATGGTGATTTTCATGAAGAAGTGTACATTGAGCAGCACGAAGGATTTGAAAATTCAGTGCATCCACAATATGTTTACAAACTTAGGAAAGCCCTTTATGGTCTCAAGCAAGTACTTAGAGCCTGGTATGATAAGCTTCACTCATTTCTCATTGAACAAGGGTGCCTTGTTCGTGGAATATCTGGACTTGTTTTATAATCTTGATAATTTAATTTCATAAGTAGATTAAATTCCCTTTTATACTTCCATCGATTTAATCATGACCTCTTGTATCTAAGGAGAAATTCAGTCCCAATCCCCTTTGGATTGGTTTTACAGTTTTTGATAACAATTGGGTCCGTAAAGAAATAAAGAAAAATAATTTTTGGTACATCTTAAGCTAACTTAAACATTTCTTAGCAATACAATATCAATATAGATGTACTTAACAATATCAAATCGCATAAAACTAAACCAAGGATAGGGTTTTTCCAGGAAACGATTATGCTTGCAGACGTAAATCGACTTAAAAATACCGCCGATGCAAAATATAACCTCTCAACGGCAATCCCATTACTTCTATTATATGTAATATAAGTAATATAATATGTAATTATTATTGACGGCTCAATTTAATTCAATTTTGCTCTTTTTTA